CCCCAGACACAAAACGGAGACGCATCGCCAACCTTCCCGGTCAACCGCAAGGTGCGGGAGGTCTCTGGCAAGGAGACCCAGGGCTAAAGGTTGATCTGATGCGCAGCGTACTAAACCGCAAACGGCCACTGAAAGTGGGGAGCAGCCGCATGGATCATGGACGTACGAGCGACGTCCAATTCCATGCCAATGCGGCGCTCAGCAATCCCATTTTGCTGTGGAGAGGCCGGAAGCGTGAAGGTCTGGCGGATGCCCTGTGCACGACAGAAGGCTCCCAGAAGGGCAGAGGAAAACTCCCCACCTCTGTCAGAGTGCAGACGTAGAACAGGAAAGTCGGAGCCGAAACTCTCTCTGAGCTGGAGACGAGCTGCGCGGATCCAGTCGATCAACACCTCAGTGACGTCACCCTTGCTGCGCAAGGGGAAGACCGTGGTGTAACGCGAGTAGTCGTCAACCACCAGCAGGAAGTACCGCTCGCGTCCCTGCCCACTGACGCGGGCTGGGCCCCACACGTCCATGTGAAGAGTCTACAGCGGAGCCTCTGTCGGAGGAAACTCGGAGGAGTGAGGGGCGGCGAGCTGCCGCCCCTCGACGCAGGGAACGCAGGTAGGGGCAGGCCCCGGAGGGAGGGGAGGGAGGGACCGGGGGAGACCAGAGACAAGGACACGGGAGGCCATGCCTCGGAGAGGAAGCAGGGAGGGGTGACCAAGGCGGCGGTGCCAGAGGAGAGTCTGGTGGGACAGGAGACGACACGAGCAGGGAGCAGACTCAGGACCAGACCTGGACGCTGCAGAAAACACCTGACCCGACGCAGCTACTTTACCAGACTCAGCAACCGGAGGAGACTCAGTAGTGAGTGTGTACAGGCTCGACCCTGGCTGACGGGTAAACGTGGCCAAGTGTCGGCCCGTCCGAGCACATGTACAGTGGGTCACCCTCTGACTCGCAGGAGTGAACTGGTCAACCCCCCCATCCTGCAGATCAGCACCACTCACCAGGTTCGTAGAGAACGAGGGGAGGTAGAGACCTGACAGGGTGCCAGAGGGGGCTGCCGGACACGGCAAGACAGTGGAGTAGTGGGCAAGGACAGGACCCCCAGAGGGGTCCGCCAGAGAGACCGCAACTGGCCAACTAAGCGGCGTAAGCGTAGTGCGGTCTCGAAAGAAGGAGCGGGAAGCACCTGAGTCAAGGGTGAAGGTGTGTAAGGCCTGAGCCGACGTGGTACCTGAGAGAGCAGACTCACCAGCACCTGGGGCAACAGACGCAATAGCACCTAGAGCAGCAGCCTCACCAGCACCTAGAGCATCAGCCTCAATGCCCGGGTAAGGCGGAACACACAGGTAATAGTGACCCTCATCACTTGTAGGCAATGCATACATGGCAGTGAGGATAGCATCATAGTCAAGAGTATAGATATCTACGTGCAGCCTAAGCAGCTCCACCCATTCGGGGAGCTCAGCCGCGTTGCCAAACTCCGTACACCAGGCGTCGCTCAGACGTGCGAAGAAGCGGGACTCGGTGTGACCAAACGTCCCGCAAGGCTGACCAGTCCGAGCACCAGTGCGAATGACGTACGGACAGCGAGCGGTACCCCGTGACCCGCCACGCTGAGTGTACCACTCACAAAGCTGCTGGGGTGAAAGGACCGCGTACGGACGACGCTGCAGCTGCACCTGGCCACTACAAGCAGCTGCCGATTTACTCACTCCAGGACGACTCCCACTACGGCCACCCCGACAACCCCAAGTAGCGTACCACTCATGAAGCTGCTGGGGCGTGTGGGACTCACGCGGACGTCGCTGGAGCTGCATCTGGCCACCGCCAGGAGTAGCATGAGTGGTGGTAGCCACAGTAGTCGCAGCAGTAGCAATAGCAGTAGTTGCAGCGCGGCCACCCCTATAACCTCAACTAGCGTTCCACTCACGAAGCTGTTGGGGGGTGAGGGACTCACGCGGACGGCCCTGGAGCTGCATCTGGCCACGCCAGGAGCAGCAGTAGCAGTAGAAAGAGCAGTAGGAGCAAGAGCAGTAGTAACAGCAGTACGGGCAGGGCAGTGCTCACCAGTGGCGAGAAGGGCAGGCGGAGGACGGCGACAACGGCGAGGCCGTTACCACTATAGGGCGAGGGCTCCGCGGCAGCAGCAGGGGTGGCTGCTGTAGGGGCGGCTGCTCCAGGGGCGGCTGCTCTAGGGGCGGCTATTGCAGGGGCGGCTGCTCCAAGGGGCGGCTGCTGCAGGGGTGGCTGCTCTAGGCTCGGCTGCTGCAGTGGCGGGTCAATGGCAGTAGCGGCTCGACGGCGGCTCGGCGGCAGCGGCTTGGTAGTGGCGGCTCGATGGCGGCCTCGGCGGCTCGGCGGCTCGGCTGCTCGGCGGCTCGGCTGCTCGGCGGTTTGGCGGCTCGGCGGCTCGGCGGTTCGGCTGCTTGGCGGTGAAGGGGCCGGGGAGGGGCCGGGGAGGGGCCGAAAGGGGCGGCGACGGGGCCGCAAGGGGCGGCGACGGGGCCGCTAAGGGCAGCGACGGGGCCGCTAAGGGCGGCGACGAGGCCGCAAGAGGGCGGCACTGGGGCCGCTAGAGGGCGGCGACGCGGCCGCGAGAGGGCGGCAGTGGGGCCGCGAGAGGGCGGCGACGAGGCTGCGAGGGCGGCGGCGGGGCCGCGAACGGCGGCGACGGGGCCGCGAGAGGGCGGCGACGGGGCCGTGGAGGTGGGGCCGCAAGGGGCGGCGGCGGGGCCGCAAGGGGCGGCGACGGGGCTGCTAAGGGCGGCAACGAGGCCGCAAGGGGCGGCGACGGGGCCGCAAGGGGCGGCGACGGGGCCGCAAGGGGCAGCGCCGGGGCCGCTAAGGGCGGCGACGAGGCCGCAAGAGGGCGGCACTGGGGCCGCGAGAGGGCGGCGACGCGGCCGCGAGAGGGCGGCACTGGGGCCGCGAGAGGGCGGCGACGAGGCCGCGAGGGCGACGGGGCCGCTGAGGGCGGCGCGACGGGCCGCTAGGGGGGGGGGGCGACGGGGTCGAGAGGGGCCGTGAGGGGGGGGGGGGGGGGGGGGGCTAAGGGCGGTGCGACAAGTCGCTAAGGGGAGGGCGGCACACAGGGCGCGCCTCGGTCAGGGGCGATTCGATCTCAGGGCAGGGAAAAAAAGAAAACTCGATTTTCAGTGGTGGGCTCTAGGAGAAGTTCCTACTAGGGAACCTGCTCTATACTATGTGAAGAAATGAAGAATGAATGAACTAGCAAGCAGGTGGGTACAAGTAGGAAAACCTAAAAGTGTTGTACCCCATATTGTCTACCCCACTACAACCTACACAGACTATAGCATATGAGTTTGAAAAGGAAAAGTTTGGCGACTGCGATGACGGCAGTGTTGTTAAGATAAGAGGCATAGTAGAAGATAGGAACCTAGGATTTCGCCTAGGCATGAGGAGTTGTCCAAGCAAGAAGGGGGTTCAACTATAGAATGAGAAGTACAAATAGGGAGAAGCATGCAAGAAGTGGTGCACCACCACACAAGGCAATTATGGGCCTTCACTACAGCTAGAACTACATGCACTTATACAAAGAGTGGTTACGTTCCTAAATCCTAATGGGCCCACCGAACGCTTCCGCGCACCCCGGGTGTGTGACGATTTTTCTGCCTGTCGCGCGCCCCGGACGCGCGACGTTTTCTGCCCGCCAAGCGACCCGGGCGCGCGGCGGTTTTCTAACCGCGCCAGGCCCACGCCCGGTTGGTACAGCCCGCGCCAGGCCCGCGCGCGGCCCGTATAGCCCGCGCCAGGCTCGCGCGCGGCCCGTACAGCCCGCGCCAAGCCCGCGCGCGGCCCGTACAGCCTGCACCAGGCCCGCGCGCACGTGCCCTGCCGCTCGCGCACCTGCAACTGCTCCTGCTCGCGCCCGCGCAGCTCCTACCCCACCCCCCCGCCCCCCCTTCTCCTCCATCCCCCTGCTACGCGTGCAGCAGTGGGGGGGAGGGTATGGGGGTGGCGGGTGTGAGTGATCTGCTGCCACCCCTCCTCTCTCTCCCACTGCCGCACTTGCTGCTGGGGGGTGGGGGAGGTGTGGGGGAAACGAGGGAGTGGCGTGGGGAGCCGAGGGAGTGGCGTAAGAGATGCAGAAGAGGATGTGGAAAGGGGGTGTGGGCCAATGTGGGGAGTTGACAGAAGGTAGCCGTTGGACGCCAGCAGCGCCAGTAGTCCGGAGCCGGCGTGCTCCGGTAGCCAGTGAGCCCGTTGCACCAGTCGCCCGTGGGTCAGTTGCTCCAGCCGCTCGGCGTAGCCGCGGAGCCAGTTACTCCCGCCGTGTCGTCTTGCTCCGGTAGCCAGTTTGCCTGTTGCTCGAGTCGCCCGTGTGCCAGCAGCTTCAGCTGCCGCCACCTATCTCCTCTCTTCTCATAGTCCCTCCTCCTCCTTCTCACTTGCACTCTTCTTCTGCTGTGCCCTGCAAGGTGTACCACTTCAGGGGGTGTTTCTGCACATGGTTCTTCACTACAGGCAGTTAGGGGGTGTGTTAGAATGTAATCGTATACATTTCTATAACTGTGTGTAGTGTAGATTTAGTGTAGTTCTATGCCTCATTGTAGTGGTGCACCTTTGCATGTTCTTTCCTATTTGTACCCTCGCTCAATATTGAATCACCATCTTTTGGCCAAAATCTCTCGACACTCTCTTTGGCCTACCCTAAACCCAAGTTCCTAAATCTAGCTATACCTACTACTTTGACACTAACACACCCCCTAAGTGCATGCAGGAATAGCCATGTGCAGAACACCCCCTGAAGTGGTACACCCTGAAGGGCGCAGCAGAAGCAGAGGCGAATCGAGGAGAAGGAGGAGGAGAGAATATGAGAGGAGAAGAGGTTGGAGGCGGCGACTGAAGCTGCTGGCACATGGGCGACTGGAGCTGCTGGCACACTGGCTACCGGAGCAAGCCGGCTCTGGACTACGGGAGTAACTGGCTCCGCGGCTACGACAAGCAGCTGGAGCAACTGACCCACAGGCAACTGGTGCAATAGGCTAGCTGGCTACCGCAACAAGGACACGACCTTCCCGGACTACTCGCGATGCTGATTTCAAAGCGGGAAAATGGGGCGCGGTGATGGAAAGAGGGAGAATGGGGCGGGGTGATGGAAAGCGGGAGAATGGGGCGGGGCGATGGAAAGCGGGAGAATGGGGCGGGGTGATGGAAAGCGGGAGAATGGGGCGGGGTGATGGAAAACAGGAGAATGTGGCACGGTGATGGAAAGCGGGAGAATGGGGCAGGGAGATGGAAAAAGGGAGAATGGGGCGGGGTGATGGAAAGCGGGAGAATGGGGCGGGGTGATGGAAAGATGGAGAATGGGGCGGGGTGATAGAAAGAGCGAGAATTGGGCGGGGTGATGGAAAGCGGGAGAATGGGGAAGGGTGATGGAAAGCGGTGGAATCGTGAGGGGTGATGGAAAGCGGGAGAATGGGCAGGGTGATGGAAAGCGGGAGAATGAAGCGGGGTGATGGAAAGAAGAAGAATGGGGCAGGGTGATGGAAAGAGGGAGAATGGGGCAGGGTGATGGAAAGCGGGAGAATGGGGCGGGGTGATGGAAAGAGGGAGAATGGGGCCGGGTGATGGAAAGCGGGCGAATGGGGCGGGGTGATGGAAAGCGGGGAGAATGGGGCAGACTGATGGAAAGCGGGAGAATGGGACGAGGTGATAGAAAGCGGGAGAATGGGGCGGGGTGATGGAAAACGGGAGAATGGGGCGGGGTGATGGAAAGCAAGAGAACGGGGCGGGGTGATGGAAAGCGAGAGAATGGGGAGAAATGATGGAAAGCGGGAGAATGGGGCGGGGTGATTAAAAGCGGGAGAATGGGGCGGGGTGATGGAAAGCGGGAGAATGGGGCGGGGTGATGGAAAGTGGGAGAATGGGGCGGGGTGAAGGAAAGCGGGAGAATGGGGCGGGGTGATGGATAGCGGGAAAAAGGGGCGGGGTGATGGAAAGCGGGAGAATGGGGCGGGATGATGGAAAGCGGGAGAATGGGGCGCGGTGATGGAAGGAGGGAGAATGGGGCGGGGTGATGGAAGGAGGGAGAATGGGGCGGGGTGATGGAAAGAGGGAGAATTGGTCGGGTTGATGGAAAGTGGGAGCATGGGGCAGGGTGATGGAAAGTGGAAGAATTGGGCGGGGTGATGGAAAGCGGGAGAATGGGGCGGGGTGATGGAAGGAGGGAGAATGGGGCGGGGTGATCGAAAGCGGGAGAATAGGGCGGGGTGATGGAAAGCAGGAGAATGGGGCGGGGTGATGGAAAGCTGGAGAATGGGGTGGGGTGATGGAAAGTGGGAGAATGGGACGGGGTGATGGAAGGCGGGAGAATGACGTAGGGTGATGGAAAGCTGGAGAATGGGGCGAGGTGATGAAAAGAGGGAGAATGGGGCGGGGTGATGGAAAGCGGGAGAATGGGGCGGGGTGATGGAAAGAGGGAGAATGGGGCGGGGTGATGGAAAGAGGGAGAATGGGGCGGGGTGATGGAAGGCGGGAGAATGGGGCGGGAAGACCGAGAGCGGGAGAATGGGGCAGGGTGACAGTGAGCGGGAGAATGGGGCGGGGTGTGGGAGAGCGGGAGAATGGGGCGGGGTGATGGAAAGTGGGAGAATGGGGCAGAGTGATGGAAATCGAGAGAATGGGGCGGGGTGATGGAAAGCGGGAGAATTGGGCGGGGTGATGGAAAGAGGGAGAATGGGGTGGGGTGATTGAAAGCAAGAGAATGGGGCGGGATGATGGAAAGCGGGAGAATGGGGTGGGGTGATGGAAAGAGGGAGAATGGGGCGGGGTGATGGAAAGAGGGAGAATGGGGCGGGGTGATGGAAAGCGGGAGAATGGGGCGGGGTGATGGAAAGCGGGAGAATGGGGCGGGGTGATGGAAAGAGGAAGAATGGGGCAGGGTGATGGAAAGAGGGAGAATGGGGCGGGGTGATGGAAAGCGGGAGAATGGGGCGGGGTGATGGAAACAGGGAGAATGGGGCCGGGTGATGGAAAGCAAGCGAATGGGGCGGGGTGATGGAAAGCAGGGAGAATGGGGTAGACTGATGGAAAGCGGGAGAATGGGACGAGGTGATAGAAAGCGGGAGAATGGGGCGGGGTGATGGAAAACGGGAGAATGGGGCGGGATGATGGAAAGCAAAAGAATGGGGCGGGGTGATGGAAAGCAGGAGAAAGGGGAGAAATGATGGAAAGCGGGAGAATGGGGCAGGGTGATGGAAAGCGGGAGAATGGGGCAGGGTGATGGAAAGCGGAAGAATGGGGCGGGGTGATGGAAAGCGGAAGAATGGGGCGGGGTGATGGAAAGCGGGAGAATGGGGCAGGGTCATGGAAAGCGGGAGAAAGGGGTGGGTTGATGGAAAGCGGGACAATGGGGCGGGATGATGGAAAGCAGGAGAATGGGGCGGGGTGATGGAAGATGGGAGAATGGGGTGGGGTGATGGAAGGAGGGAGAATGGGGCCGGGTGGTGGAAAGAGGGAGAATGGGTCGGGTTGATGGAAAGTGGGAGAATAGGACGGGGTGATGGAAAGTGGGAGAATTGGGCGGGGTGATGGAGAGCGGGAGAATGGGGCGGGGTGATGGAAGGAGGGAGAATGGGGTGGGGTGATCGAAAGCGGGAGAATGGGGTGGGGTGATGGAAAGCGGGAGAATGGGGCGGGTTGATGGTAAGCTGGAGAATGAGGTGGGGTGATTGAAAGTGAGAGAATAGGGCGGGGTGATGGAAGGCGGGAGAATGAGGCAGGGTGATGGAAAGCGGGAGAATGGGGTGGGGTGATGGAAAGAGAGAGAATGGGGCGGGGTGATGGAAAGAGGGAGAACGGGGCGGGGTGATGGAAAGGGGAAGAATGGGGCGGGGTGATGGAAAGAGGGAGAATGGGGTGGGGTAATGGAAAGAGGGAGAATGGGGTGGGGTGATGGAAGGCGGGAGAATGGGGTGGGAAGACGGAGAGCGGGAGAATGGGGCAGGGTGACGGTGAGCGGGAGAATGGGGCGGGATTTGGGAGAGCGGGAGAATTGGGCGTGGTGATGGAAAGTGGGAGAATGGGGCAGAGTGATGGAAATTGAGAGAATGGGGTGGGGTGATGGAAAGCGGGAGAATTGGGCGGGGTGATGGAAAGAGGGAGAATGGGGCGGGGTGATGGAAAGAAGGAGAATGGGGCGGGGTGATGGAAAGCGGGAGAATAGGGCGGGGTGATTTAAATAGGGAGTATGGGGAGGGGTGATGGAAAGAGGGAGGATGGGGCGGGGTGATGGAAAGCGGGAGAATGGGGCAGAGTGATGGAAATAGGGAGAATGGGGCTGGGTGGTGGAAAGCGGGAGAACAGGGCGGGGTGAAAGAAAGCGGGAGAATGGGGCGGGGTGATGGAAAGCAGGAGAATGGGGCGGGTTGATGGAAAGCGGGAGAATGGGGTGGGGTGATGGAAAGAGGGAGAATGGGGCGGGGTGATGGAAAGAGGGAGAATGGGGCGGGGTGATGGAAAGCGGAAGAATGGGGCGGGGTGATGGAAAGAGGGAAAATGGGGCGCGGTGATGGAAAGAGGGAGAATGGGGTGGGGTGATGGAAGGCGGGAGAATGGGGCGGGAAGACGGAGAGCGGGAGAATGGGGCAGGGTGACGGTGAGCGGGAGAATGGGGCGGGATTTGGGAGAGCGGGAGAATTGGGCGGGGTGATGGAAAGTGGGAGAATGGGGCAGAGTGATGGAAATTGAGAGAATGGGGTGGGGTGATGGAAAGCGGGAGAATTGGGCGGGGTGATGGAAAGAGGGAGAATGGGGCGGGGTGATGGAAAGCAAGAGTATGGGGCGGGATGATGGAAAGCGGGAGAATGGGGCGGGGAAATGGAAAGCGGGAGAATGGGGTGGGGTGATGGAAAGAGGGAGAATGGGGCGGGGTGATGGAAAGAGGGAGAATGGGGCGGGGTGATGGAAAGATGGAGAATGGGGCGGGGTGATGGAAAGCGGGAGAATGGGGCGGGGTGATTTAAATAGGGAGTATGGGGAGGGGTGATGGAAAGAGGGAGGATGGGGCGGGGTGATGGAAAGTGGGAGAATGGGGCAGAGTGATGGAAATAGGGAGAATGGGGCTGGGTGGTGGAAAGCGGGAGAACAGGGCGGGGTGATGGAAAGTGGGAGAATGGGGCGGGGTGATGGAAAGCAGGAGAATGGGGCGGGTTGATGGAAAGCGGGAGAATGGGGTGGGGTCATGAAAAGCAGGTGAACGGGTCGGGGTGATGGAAAGCAGGAGAACGGGGCGGGGTGATGGAAAGCGGGAGAATGGGGCGTGGTGATGGAAAGCGCGAGATTGGGGCGGGGTGTAGAAAGCGGGAGAATGGTGCGGGGTGATGGAAAGCGGGAGAATGGAGCGGGGTGATGAAAAGCGTCATAATGGGGTGGGGTGATGGAAAGCGGGAGAATGGGGCTAGGTCATGGAAAGCAGGAGAATGGGGCGGGGTGATGGAACGCGGAAAAATGGGGCGGGATGACAGAGAGCGGGAGAATGGGGCAGGGTGACGGTGAGCGGGAGAATGGGGCGGGATTTGGGAGAGCGGGAGAATTGGGCGGGGTGATGGAAAGTGGGAGAATGGGGCAGAGTGATGGAAATTGAGAGAATGGGGTGGGGTGATGGAAAGCGGGAGAATTGGGCGGGGTGATGGAAAGAGGGAGAATGGGGCGGGGTGATGGAAAGCAAGAGTATGGGGCGGGATGATGGAAAGCGGGAGAATGGGGCGGGGAAATGGAAAGCGGGAGAATGGGGTGGGGTGATGGAAAGAGGGAGAATGGGGCGGGGTGATGGAAAGAGGGAGAATGGGGCGGGGTGATGGAAAGATGGAGAATGGGGCGGGGTGATGGAAAGCGGGAGAATGGGGCGGGGTGATTTAAATAGGGAGTATGGGGAGGGGTGATGGAAAGAGGGAGGATGGGGCGGGGTGATGGAAAGTGGGAGAATGGGGCAGAGTGATGGAAATAGGGAGAATGGGGCTGGGTGGTGGAAAGCGGGAGAACAGGGCGGGGTGATGGAAAGTGGGAGAATGGGGCGGGGTGATGGAAAGCAGGAGAATGGGGCGGGTTGATGGAAAGCGGGAGAATGGGGTGGGGTCATGAAAAGCAGGTGAACGGGTCGGGGTGATGGAAAGCAGGAGAACGGGGCGGGGTGATGGAAAGCGGGAGAATGGGGCGTGGTGATGGAAAGCGCGAGATTGGGGCGGGGTGTAGAAAGCGGGAGAATGGTGCGGGGTGATGGAAAGCGGGAGAATGGAGCGGGGTGATGAAAAGCGTCATAATGGGGTGGGGTGATGGAAAGCGGGAGAATGGGGCTAGGTCATGGAAAGCAGGAGAATGGGGCGGGGTGATGGAACGCGGAAAAATGGGGCGGGATGACAGAGAGCGGGAGAATGGGGCGGGGTGATGGAAAGCGGGAGAATGGGGTGGGTTGATGGAAAGAGGGAGAACGGGGCGGGGTGATGGAAAGAGGGAGAACGGGGCAGGGTGATAGAAAGCGGGAGAATGGGGCGGGGTGACGGAGAGTGGGAGAACAGGGCAGGGTGACGGAGAGCGGGAGAATGGGGCGGGGTGATGGTGTTGAGATTCTAGCGAGGATTGAGAGCCATGGCTAGTGAGAGTATTAGTAGCTTAGGTTTAGGGTTGATCAATGTCGAGAAAGTTGAAAGGAGAATGAAGTGGTTTTACTAGCAAGAGTTGGGATACAAGTACAACACCCTAAATTGGGTTGTACTCATTACAGAGTACCCCACTGCAGGCAAGACAGCAAATACATTATGACAGATGGAGAGCGGGAGAATGGGGCGGGGTGATGGAAAGAGGGAGAATGGGGCGGGGTGATGGAAGGCGGGAGAATGGGGCGGGAAGACGGAGAGAGGGAGAATGGGGCAGGGTGACAGTGAGCGGGAGAATGGGGCGGGGTGTGGGAGAGCGGGAGATTTGGGCGGGGTGATGGAAAGTGGGAGAATGGGGCAGAGTGATGGAAATCGAGAGAATGGGGCGGGGTGATGGAAAGCGGGAGAATTGGGCGGGGTGATGGAAAGAGGGAGAATGGGGCGGGGTGATGGAAAGAGGGAGACTGGGGCGGGGTGATGAAAAGCGGGAGAATGGGGCGGGGTGATGGAAAGAGGGAGAATGGGGCGGGGTGATGGAAAGCGGGAGAATGGGGCGGGGTGATGATAAGAGGGAGAATTGGGTGGGGTGATGGAAAGAGGGAGAATGGGGCGGGGTGATGGAAAGAGGGAGACTGGGGCGGGGTGATGAAAAGCGGGAGAATGGGGCGGGGTGATGGAAAGAGGGAGAATGGGGCGGGGTGATGGAAAGAGGGAGACTGGGGCGGGGTGATGAAAAGCAGGAGAATGGGGCGGGGTGATGGAAAGAGGGAGAATGGGGCGGGGTGATGGAAAGCGGGAGAATGGGGCGGGGTGATGATAAGAGGGAGAATTGGGTGGGGTGATGGAAAGAGGGAGAATGGGGCGGGGTGATGGAAGGAGGGAGACTGGGGCGGGGTGATGAAAAGCGGGAGAATGGGGCGGGGTGATGGAAATAAGGAGAATGGGGCCGGGTGATGGAAAGAGGGAGAATGGGGCGGGGTGATGGAAAACGGGAGTATGGGGCGGAGTGATGGAAATAGGGAGAATGGGGCGGGGTGATGGAAAGCGGGAAAATGGGGCGGGGTGATGAAAAGCGGGAGAATGGGGTAGGGTGGTGGAAAGTGGGAGAATGGGGCTGGGTGACGGAAAGCGCGAGATTGGGGCGGGGTGATGGAAAGCGGGAGAATGGGGCGGGGTGAAGGAAAGAGGGAGAATTGGGCGAGGTGATGGAAAGCGGGAGAGGGGGGCGGGGTGATGGAAAGCTGGATAATGGGGCGGGGTGATGGAAAGCAAGGGAATGGGGCAGGGTGATGGAAAGCGGGAGAATGGGGCGGGGTGATGGAAAGCGGGAGAATGTGGCGGGGTGATGGAAAGCGGGAGAATGGGGCGGGGTGATGGAAAGCGTGAGAATCAGGCGGGGTGATGGAAAGCGGGAGAATGGGGCGGGGTGATTGAAAGCGGGAGAATGGGGAGGGGTGATGGAACGCGGGAGAATGGGGCAGGGTGATGGAAAGCGGGAGAATGGGGCGGGGTGATGGAAAGGGGGAAAATGGGGCGGGGTGATGGGAAGCGAGAGAATGGGGCGGGGTGATGATAAGCGGGAGAATGGGGCGGGGTGATGGAAAGCGGGAGATTGGGGCGGGGTGACAGATAGCGGGAGAATGGGGCAGGGTGATGGAAAGAGGGAGAATGGGGTGGGGTGATGGAAAGCGGGAGAATGGGGCACGGTGATGGAAAGAGGGAGAATAGGCCGGGTTGATGGAAAGTGAGAGAATAGGGGGGGTGATGGAATGCGGGAGAATGGGGCAGGGTGATGGAAAGCGGGAGAATGGGGCGGGGTGATGGAAAGTAGGAGAATGGGGCGGGGTGATGGAAAGATGGAGAATGGGGCGGGGTGATGGAAAGAGGGAGAATGGGGCGGGGTGATGGAAAGCGGGAGAATGGGGCGGGGTGATGGAAAGAGGGAGAATAGGGCGGGGTGATGGAAAGATGGAGAATGGGGCGGGGTGATGGAAAGCGGGAGAATGGGGCGGGGTGATGGAAAGAGGGAGAATGGGGCGGGGTGATGGAAAGCGGGAGAATGGGGCGGGGTGATGGAAAGAGGGAGAATAGGGCGGGGTGATGGAGGGAGGGAGAATGGGACGGGCTGATGGAAAGCAAGAGAATGGGGCGGGGTGATGGAAATAGGGAGAATGGGGCGGGGTGATGGAATGAGGGAGAATGGGGCGGGGTGATGGAATGCGGGAGAATGGGGCGGGATGATGGAAAGCGCGAGAATGGGGTGGGGTGATGGAAAGCGGGAGAATGGGGCGGGGTGAAGGAAAGAGAGAGAATGGGGTGGGGTTGTTATGTGATGCTATCATTTGCATTCACGTCTGTCTGCCTCCCATCATATGTTCGTTTGTGCATGCGTGGTGTGAGCGTGTGCAAGAATTTGTGTTTTGTGTGGTTTGAAATTTCTGAGTGTGTGAGAATGTTATTTGGCTTGAGCAGATATCTGAAGTGACTCCTCTGCTCAAGAGCTTTCCGACGAACCAAGTATCGCTTCAATCGGAGCTCGAACAAGAAAGTTACGAACGTTGGAAGCTCGTATGCTTTTGATATTTGGTTGTGGTGACTATGGGAAGTTGTGGGGTTGACTCCATAAGGGGTATAGACTTTTGGGGGTTGGGAAATTCGTCAACATCACTGTAGATGGTGCCAAGTGGTTGGGTGAAACCAAACCAGGTTTGCAAGTGTGGCCAAGTTGGGTTGAGGTGGATTGTGGAGGTTGGGATAGTGACAAAGGTCAAAGTTGGGTTGCCTATGGGGAAGGGAATTGTGTCGCATGGGGTTTCCTTGGTTGGGGACTGTCTTAGGACCTTCCCTCTCATCCTACGCATCCCTTCCACCTGGTTTAGTGCTACTCTTACTCTCTTGGAGCTGCAGGAGGCAGCAGAGGAAGAGGGGGAGGGAGAGGCCGAGGCCGTGGGAGAGGCTTTGGCAGAGGGAGAGGCCGAGGTGACTACAATGAGGGGCATGGGAGCTCTGGTGGCAGGGGAAGCACCCGAATGGAGGGTGCGTGCTGGTACTGCAAGAAGGCTGGACACCCGTGGTTCAAGTGTTTCAGCCGGCCTGAGGGATGGGCCCCTCCAGGCATGAAGCCGCCAAGTGGTGAACGTGCACGAGGTGGCGCTGTGCAAGGTTCAGGTGCACAAAGTGATGGTGCACAAGGTAAAGCCGACCCTGGGATGTTCCTCATGGTTGAGGATGTGCAAGGGAGTGGGGGTGATGTGGGTTCAGTTGGGAAGGTTGTGATGCACCCCCTCACCCAATGGGTGATAGATTCAGGTTGCACAAGTCACATGACCCCACGGGCAGATTTGCTTGACGAGGTAAAACCCCAAGGGAAGATCAAGTTTGTGGCTGCTGCTTCAGGTGCTTTGCTCCCTGTGATTGGTGTTGGGAATGCCAAGGTCATGGGAGCCAATGGGGGGCTTGTGGGGCTGGGGAATGTGCTTTTGGTTGAAGGTTTATCTGCTAACCTCCTCTCTGTGCGCCGGCTGCAGAAAAGCAAGGCCAAAGTTACCTTCGGCCCAACCAGCTGCCGTGCAAAGCTTGGGAAGTTGCTGCTGTGGAACTTGGAGGAGAAGAGCAGCTGCATCAAGGACCTGTGGTAGCTGCCCATCATCCCTTGGAAGGGGAAACCACCAGCAACGGCAAAGGCAGCGGCAGCGGCTAAAGCAACTGCGGGAGGAGAGGAGACTGCACCAACTGCTGGGGCTCTGGATGCAGTCAAGAAGGTGCAGCAGCCACAGGAGCCACATGGGGAGGTGCTTGCTGGTGTGGATGCGATAGCTGCATGGGCAAAGGCTTCATCTGGGAGTGGTGAGGCTGATTGGGAGACGTGGCATGAGAGGCTGTGCCATGTGAACATTCCTATGCTGCAGAAGTTGGTAAAGGATGGGTGCTTGAAGGGGCTGGAGGTGAAGGGGGGAGCAAAGGAGATTGAGAGCTGCCCTACCTGCCTTGAGACCAAATTCACGAAGTTTCCCTTCAGCAACAGCACAGGACCAGCCAAGGCACCACTTGCACTAGTGCACATGGATGTGGTGGGCCCCACGAGGGCCCTTTCTCTCTCGGGCAGCCGCTACTTCTTGACGATTGTGCACGACCACACGCGTGCGGTGTGGGTGTACCCTTTGAAGACCAAGGGGGAAGTGGCAGCGGCTGTTCTCAAGGAGTGGATGCCGAGAGCTCAAAGGGAGAGCAGACAAAATGTGAAGGTGTTGCACACCGATAATGGGGGAGAATTCATTGGCGCTGATTTTGAGGCGGTGCTGAAGAAGAAGGGGATCCAGCATCAGCTTACGGTGCCCTACGACCCTCAGCAGAACGGCGTGGCTGAGCGGTTCAACCGGACCCTGCAGAAAGGTGCTTGCACTCTCCTTGGGAGTGCAGGGCTGCCGGATCCGTTTTGGGTGACTGCACTGCGGCAGGTCGCCCTTGTGAATAACAGGGTGCTGGCGACTATGGGGGACAAGCAGTGGGTCCCCTACACCAAGTGGTATGGGAGTGCACCAGCAGTCAACATGCTGAGAGCCTTTGGGTGCGTGGTGGTGTTTCATGTGCCTAAGGAGAAGAGGGGAAAGCTGGAAGCTTCTGGGAGATGGGGTGTGCACTTGGGGCTTGCTAAGGATCACAAGGGCTGGCTGATTTGGGACTTGACCAGCTAGCAGCTGACTGTATCAAGGGATGTGAAATTCCTTGAGTCCTTGTACTACAAGGAGTGGAAGCAGCAGCAGCAGAAGCTTCCTACGACACCGCTAATTGTCGAGGCCGATGAGGTGCAGCGGCCTTCGAGGCAAGTGCAGGTCACTGTCTAAGAGGAGGAGATTTCTGGGGTAACTGAGGATGGGGGAGAACCTGAGGATGGGTGACTGAGCGTGCGTGGTCCACGAGCATGCCTGGTCGAGGAGCATGCCTAGTCCAGGAGCTTGCCTGGTCCAAGAGCTTGCCTGGTCAACGAGCCTGCCTGGTCCAAGAGCTTGCCTGGTCCAAGAGTGTGCCTGGTCCGCGAGCGTGCGTGGTCCATGAGCTTGCCTGGTCCAGGAGCTTGCCTGGTCCAGGAGATTGCCTTGTCCAAGAGCTTGCCAGGTCCAGGAGCTTGCCTAGTCCAGGAGCTTCAGGAGCTTGCTTGGTCTAGAAGCTTGCCTGGTCCAAGAGCTTGCCTGGTCTAGGAGCGTGCATGGTCCAAGAGCTTGCGTAGTCCAAGAGCTTGCGTGGTCCAGGAGCATGCCTGGTCCACAAGCGTGCCTGGTCCAAGAGCTTGCCTGGTCCACGAGCTTGCCTGGTCCAGGAGCTTGCCTGGTGCAAGAGCGTGCCTGGTCCACGAGCCTGCCTGGTCCAAGAGCTTTCTTGGTCCAAGAGCGGGCCTGGTCCACGAGCGTGCCTGGTCCAGGAGCTTGCCTGGTCCAAGAGCTTGCCTAGTCCAGGAGCTTGCCTGGTCCAGGAGCTTGCCTGGTCCAGGAGCGTGCCTCGTCGAGGAGCTTGCCTGGTCCAGGAGCTCGCCTGGTCCAGAAGCGTGCCTGGTCCAAGAGCTTGCCTGGTCCAGGAGCATGCCTGGTCCAGGAGCTTGCCTTGTACAGGAGCTTTCCTGGTCCAGTCGCGTGCCTGGTCCACGAGCGTGCCTGGTCCAGGAGCTTGCCTGGTCCAGGAGCTTGCCTAGTCTAGGAGCTTGCCTGGTCTAGGAGCGTGCCTGGTCCACAAGCCTGCCTGGTCCAAGAGCTTGCTTGGTCCAGGAGCATGCGTGGTCCACAAGCGTGCCTGATCCAAGAGCTTGCTTGGTCCAGGAGCTTGCCTGGTCCAGGAGCTTGCCTGGTCCAGGAGCTTGCCTCGTCCAGTAGCTTGCCTGGTCTAGGAGCTTGCCTAGTCCAAGAGCTTGCCTGGTCCACGAGCTTGCTTGGTCCTCAAGCCTGCGTTGTTCAAGAGCTTGCCTGGTCCACGAGCATGCCTGGTCCAAGAGCTTGCGTGGTGTAGGAGCTTGCCTGGTCCAGGAGCTTGCCTGGTCCAGGAGCTAGCCTAATCGAAGAGCTTGCCTGGACCACGAGCTTGCCTGGTCAAGGAGCTTGCCTGGTCCAAGAGCTTCTTTGGTCCAGAAGCTTGCCTTGTCGAAGAGCTTGCCAGGTCCAGGATCTTGCTTCGTCCAGGAGCGTGCCTGGTCCACGAGTTTGCCCGGTCCAGGAGCATGCCTGGTCCAGGAGCTTGCCTGGTCTAGGAGCTTGCCTGGTCCAAGAGTGTGCCTGGTCTAGGAGCTTGCCTGGTCCAGGAGCTTGCCTGGTCCAGGAGCGTGCCTAGTCCACGAGCATGCCTGGTCCAAGAGCTTGCCTAGTCCAAGAGCGTGCCTGGTCCACGAGAGTGCCTGGTCCAGGAGCTTGCCTGGTCGAGAATCTTGCTTGGTCTAGGATCTTGCCTGGTCCAGGAGCTTGCCTGGTCCAAGAGCTTGCCTGGTCCAGGAGCTTGCCTGGTCCATGAGCTTGCTTGGTCCAGAAGCGTGCCTGGTCCGAGAGCTTGCCTGGTCGAGGAGCGTGCCTGGTCCAACAGCTTGCGTGGTCCAGGAGCTTGCCTGGTCTAGGAGCTTGCTTGGTCCAGAAGCGTGCTTGGTCCAAGAGCTTGCATGGTCCAGGAGGGTGCCTAGTCCAAGAGCTTGCGTGGTCCAGGAGCTTGTTTGGTCCAGGAGCTTGCCTGGTCCAAGAGCGTGCCTGGTCCACAAGCTTGCTTGGTCCAAGAGCGTGCCTGGTCCACGAGCCTGCCTGGTCCAGGAGCTTGAGTGGTCCAGGAGCTTGCCTGATGAAGGAGCTTGCCTGGTGCAAGAGCTTGCCTGGTCCACGAGCCTGCGTGGTCCAAGAGCTTGCCTGGTCCAAGAGTGTGCCTCGTCCAGGAGCTTGCCTGGTCCACGAGCTTGCCTGGTCCCGGAGCTTGCCTAGTCCAGGAGCTTGCCTGGTCCAAGAGCTTGCCAGGTCCAGGAGCTTACCTGTTCGAGGAGTTTCAGGAGCTTGCTTGGTCTAGAAGCTTGCCTGGTCCAAGAGCTTGCCTGGTCCAGGAGCTTGCCTGGTCCAAGAGCTTGCATGGTCCACGAGTTTGCCTGGTCCACGAGCATGCCTGGTCCATGAGCGTGCCTAGTCCAGGAGCTTGCCAGGTCCACGAGCTTGCCTGGTCCAGGAGCTTGCCTGGTGCACGTCCGTGCCTGGTCCACGAGCCTGCCTGGTCTAAGAGCTTGCCTGGTCGAAGAGCGGGCCTAGTCCACGAGCGTGCCTGGTCCAGGAGCTTGCCTGGTCCAGGAACTTGCCCGGTCCAGGAGCTTGCCTGGTCCAGGAGCTTGCCTGGTCCA